TATGTATGTGTATATATGTGTGTATATGTATGTGTATATATGTGTGTGTGTATGTATATGTGTGTATGTGTGTGTGTATGTATGTGTGTGTATATGTGTGTGTGTGTATGTGTGTGTGTATGTGTGTGTGTATATATGTGTGTGTGTATATATGTGTGTATGTGTGTGTGTATATATGTGTGTGTGTATATATGTGTGTGTGTATATATGTGTGTGTATATATGTGTATGTCTGTATATATGTGTATGTCTGTATATATGTGTATGTCTGTATGTATGTATATATATATGTGTATGTATATATATATGTGTATGTATATATATGTGTGTGTGTGTATGTATATATATATGTGTGTATGTATATATATGTGTGTGTGTGTATGTATATATATATGTGTGTATGTATATATGTATGTGTGTATGTATATATATATATACACACACACACACACTAGGACTACACATGTATACGTATATATAGATGTGTCCCTTCCATTTCACTTCTTGCTGTTTCATTATATTTATATGATGTGCTGTTAGCTTTTCACTTCATTCACTTAGCTAGCTGTGAAACTTCTCCGCTGTGACACTGGATAAAGGTTTGCTGTGAAGTGAATTACACCATCTTTTGTTACGTGCCAGTAAGGCTAACGCAGTTGTAGAGCACACGGCTCTTAAATTGTTACGTATGTGGCAAAGCAAACAGGTTGGCCCGCCACAGAGGAAATGCCCTACACCAACGCAAACAAACACATTCTTCATCGCCAGCCGCCCCTGACCACTACGTGTCCATTTTGTCCCTCCTCGCCTCGCTGGTCAATCAGGTCTTGACATCCTGCGTGTCCAGACAGAAGCAGTCTGGCCCTTCGTGGTTAATGGACCAGCAGTAACGGAGCCCCAGGGGTCCCAAAGGCCACCAGGCCAGTTCGCTGTTCTCACCTGCTAACTGACTCTCCCTGACTGACAGTCCACATGCAGGTGTTAAAGTGTCCCACAGTTTAATTAACCCCTTCCTGTTCCCAGAAGGACCTCCAGCCGTGTCTATTGTGGCTTTACAATAGAGCTACTCGGGCAATGAGCATAATTGGCCTGAAGTACGAGCGGGGAATGGGGTGGCTGTAAAGTGCTTTACTTGTTCATCTCATATTGACAAGGATGTGTACTACAGCACAAAGTAGAGAAAATGTGTGTTACTACGTGGAACTCCAAGAATGTGAGAGCCCATAATCCCAATCTGAGATCATTTTGTACGTATTTTGGAAGAGAGCTCAACAATCTTTAGTGCAATAATAGAACAGGGGCCTCATTACAGAAACGTATCCTAACTGCTTGTCCTATCTTAACTTAAGCTTCAAAGATCTTCCTATTACAGAAATGATTCTTAAAGTCATGGCTGTGTCTTATCCAGTCTTGGACCTCCTACCTTACTTAATTTAAGAAATCCTAACTTTAAATGTGATTCTTCAATCGACAATCATCCTAAATGTCTGTATCCATGTTTAGTACAAGCCTGTATCTTTGATCAGAATGTACCGGTGGGCTTCTGGAGATGGACCAACCATGATATAAACGGCTCTCGCTTGTCACTGGCTAGCAAACATGCCAGAAAAAGATCAATTATAGCTACGAGGAGTCTGATGCACTAACCCTGGGTGTTACGGAAGGAAAACCCCACTTTTAACACATTTAACTTTTGCACATTTATTTATTTTATTGTCATTTAAAGCACCAATCAAACGGTTTGATTGGCCTTTCAATTGTATTTATTCCTGAATGCAGTTAGGAAACATGTTTCTGTTGTACTAAAAATCCAGAATGAACTCCTAACTGAAATAAGAAAGAAGGAGGGTCAAATTATAAAAGGAAAGAAAGTGGTATTGAGTGTTTGTTCCAGACTTGTGTAAGTGTCCGTGGCCGTCGGGAATCCTCACCCTCTGCATCATAAGAATGTTTAATAAACACATCAAGAAGTTCCAGTGATTCATGTCGACTATTCCAGCTAACATCCTGCCTGTTCATCTCTCCACAGAAGCGGAAATGCAGGGAGAAGGATGACGGCGACGCAGTCAGCCTCTGCAGCTTCGACTTTAAGGTAAACGTACGTCGCCAGACACTCGGTGAGCTTAGAAAACACCAGGGCTTTCCACGCTCATTTAAAGAGAACTAAATAGCATTTTAGAGAACACCTGGTGGTAAGATTTAGTTTCAGGAAAACACATTTTGATATAAAGTTGTTTATCTGTTTTGTAGGTCATAAGAAAATCTCATTGTGGAAAATGAAGCCCATGCACATTTTCTGGTTTTGCTGGAGGACCTTAGTGCTGCTTCAAAGACTGATGGATGTCTATAAAGCCCACTTTCTGAATCAGTGAATGGATTTTTACTTATTTTTTTTTGTCATTTAGTCACAGTCCATTCATAGATTCACTCATAAACCATGTCATTGAATGACAAATAAGAAGTCAAGAATAATCAATGTCCAATTGAGGCTTAAAACTCCATCCAATAAAGCCATCCATCAGAAACTATAATAACAACATTTTAATATCATACAGGTAACACCAGTAAAACCATTGCTTTGCTGAAAAGGGAGACTAGAAAAGAGAGGCGGGACATTATCAAGCAGGCCTGGCTTCTTATAATGGTTTAGAAAAAAAGGGCTGTATACATTTGCTACACTTCACATTGAGGTTTATATTAGTTATGTTTTCTTTTACAAAGTTCTTCCACACACTTGCGATACTCTCACAATCCACTCAGCATGGAGCCCCACTCTTGTGGGAAGCACTGAATAAGATAACAGTTGACTCACTTTTGGTACCAGGTCCCTTTCTCTATTTCAGTGTCCATTGCAGATTGAACCCCTCAGTGGAAGCTGATGCTCAGCTTTTAGCCATAGTGACGCCACGTGAAACTGCCATGACATCATCTTCAACGTGACACTCGCTGAATCCTTTCATCAGCAACCAAACATTGGGAATCTGTACGGCGTAGTGCACGGCAGCCTAGTGCGTGGTGGCGTAGTTTTGAGGGCTACCAATTTAAAAAATCTTTAAAACGGCGGTTTTGTGCTGCTCGTTTTGTGTCGTACCAGTGATGATTCTCTCCGACCAATCAGTGGTCTGCAGTGTTTTCAATCCACCTTCTAGTAGCGGCTCAGCTCGTTTAGAACCTTGACCGATGTTGCAGCAAACTAACAAGGCCAGAAATACATTTTATTGTCAATCTATAGATGGGATCACAGTTTACCAGAGCCAGTGTTTACCACACCCAAAACAACACATAACGTAGCATTTATAAGACACGATCAAATCACTGTTTTATACATCTTGGTAAATGATCTGTTTGGCTTCTGGCCAGAGTTGTTGTACTTCAAGGCAAGCTTTTGAACATTCCAATCCAGACACATCAAGAACAGTTTGCAACATCATCTGTGCCAGAGGTTCACCAGATTCACTGCAATGGGCTCCAACTACAAGCCAGAGTCTTTTTGTTATTCTTTCTGCAGGCTACATAACATCATATGCATTTTACTGTGCAAGCAAACGCATTGTGTGCCATAAACCAAACAAAAATCTGAATGTCTCTGTGCTTTGCTTACATAGCGGGGTGGTTAGGCATGTTACTGCATGTGAGTGTGCCCCACTAAGCTAACTACTGATAACGCTGTCTCGTCCGACAGTGTCTTCGCGGAAGCGTAGCACCCGCCCTCTGGTTACCCCTCAGGTAAACACTGTTAGCTCTGCCAGCACCGTTGCCATTGTTTGCGCTGTTAGCGCCGCTAGCACCATTAGCGTTAGCCATCAGCTCAGCCATCACCAGGTATGATCTGAATTCTGTATTGTGAACCTTTTAAGGATAACGAACCGGTTTGACACTTGAAAACACTGTCACAAAGAGCTTACAAGAGGCGGTCTATCAAGATCTCAGCAGAGAAGAGATGGGATCATTTATGGCCGATCCAGGGTCAGTTTTTCCTGCATTACATTATTAACGGTAATGCACCGTGTTTTCTGACTTAAAGAGGAGGAGGAAGAAGAAGAGATGTGGTGACCGGAAATTGCTCCAGAATGTTGCTCCTACAGGGTTTTAGGTGCGAGTGGTGAAATATAAATTCCACTGTCTCACATTGCTCTCGTTAATTGCGTTGTTAAGACACTTGTGATGTCAACAGAAACGCTGAAAAACCTGGCTACCATATCTGATCTCTGGCCGTATCTGAAGTATGTGCCTCATCTGTTTATTCAGAGCGTATCGTCAAAAGGACTAGTCTTTATCCCGGAGAGACTTCTAGATAAAGCCCGCAGTTGTTTGGTGAGGAGCCCGATGAGGTCTGCCGCTACATCTGGAACCTGCTTTGGTGTAACTGAAAGGCGGGACCGACTGGGTTAGAAAACACACCTTGTTTGGTGTGTGGGTGTAAAAATGAGCACAACGGTCAGTCCGTGCTTTACCAACTGAGGATGATCCTGTCACAACTGAACATCGTTTAGCTTCAGGCGCAGTTCCCTATTCTACCAGCCATGAGTGTACAAAAGTGTCTCAAAGTGTCCTAGCTTCATTTCAAATCTGAATTCTCTCTCTTTCTCCTTTGACCCATTTGTGTTTAAAACTCCTATCATGCTAATGGGCTGCACCAATGGACCAAACATCACCCTGTCTCCACGCAGGCTGTTTTTGTCCTGCGCCCACGTGAGAGGGATTAGCAGAGTCTGGACTTCCGGAACCAGTTGGATGAGTTGCTCTGACTTGACTAAACAAAGCTCTGACAGTGTTGTGGAAACTCCCGGGGGCCACTTCTTGATTCATATCAGTGTTCTCCTCTGACTCTCTTTTCTTTTCCAATTGAGCCGCTTGCAGCACAGTGAACTCCCTCCACACCGAGGCCGTTATAGCAGAGATCCCCGGTTAACCGGTTGGCTGCTGGTGTACTGCTGCTCTTTGGCTCCGACTCCAAATGGAGTTGTTAAGTAAACATCAGAGTTGCAAGGAATGGTCTCAGAAAGCAGTGTCTCAGTTTTGTTGTGTAGTGTTTAGTAAGATCTTCTATGATTACAGCTGCAAGAAGCAATCATTTTCATTGTTAAGTAGGATGCAGCTTTATTGTTTTTTATCTTAATTTTTCAGAGCCTAACAATCCAAAACAGGAAGATGTTAGTAGATGCAAATTTCTGGCATCTACTAACATCTTCCTGTTTTCTCCTCATGGTGCACATCAACATATCACCCAACTCTACAGTGGAACTGTTGCACCCATCCCGACTCCCTGTGTGTGGGGGGCTTTTAAAGCAAACAATACCGTCTATGATAAGAATTTCCCAGTAAATGAAAGAATTTCCTGAAAAGGTTGCCGCTGGATAACCAAAGTTATTTCCACTTCAATTTTACGGTAAACGCTGCATGTTTCGACTGAACGATGTTTATTTAGTGGGAAAAAAGATATGCATACGATCTATGACTATACCTGTGCCCTGACTACTGAACACCCCTGTGTTCATATGTGTCTGTGCCGGTGACTTGTTTACGTCCGTCAGCCGAGGCTCTGCCGGTATCATAAAGCGTCGGCGGTTTCACTGCGACTCTTAGTTACCAGCCTGTGTTTGGTAGCAACCAGCGCTCCTCTGGGTGTGTGAACACTGACATAAGGAACCAGTGTGTTGAGTAACCGTAGCATGTCAGTCTGGTTTTATTGTTTCTACAGGCCCTTGTGTCATTAGATCACTGTCTACATCTTCCGTCACTTCATCTTTGTTTAATTGTAGCCACAGAGGGGCGGAGGTATTTATAGTTCTTTGCCCTCAGAACAGAAACTTCTTGGATTAATAGGAGTTAAGATCTCGCAGTCACGCCCTAACTGGGGGCCTAATTTAGAACCAAGCGTACCCCTAAACCCTCCAGGGTGGTGGCTCTGAACCTTACAAGCAGAGGTTACGTTGTTATGGATTCCTTCTTCTTCACCCTCAATACTTATTCTTTTAAAATTCAGCTTAGAGAAACATAACAAATACAAATGCTTCCATTATAAGAAAAAAAAAATCTCTTGTAGTGCTGATAAAAGATTGTGCAACATATTGTAATCAAACAAGCTGTCTCTCTTCATATACTGTATTTGAAACATTAATTCATGCCAACTGGTGGATAAATAAATGAATGATCAGCAAAATGCTTTTCATAAAGCATGTGAGCAAATAAGGAGATTGACCATAATCATCTCAGACAAAATCACAATTTCAGTATTACACTATTATTATATACCTGATATCTTTTTAAATAACGTGTAACTATAAAATGTTATAACTGAAGTATTTTAGATTACATGTTGGCAGCACTATAGCATGTTAAACTACTACCTAAACAAACATAGCATCCACTGTGAGCGTTTAAAATAATGTCTTATGTAAACTAACAGTTAACACATTTGTGTTTTTCAATACTGTAGTCATAGCTTTAAACTGTTTCAACCTTAGTCAGATGTCAGATATTATAAAACTTATAATGTAATATTGCTATCTGAGAATACGACTTAAGGTACTGTGATCGGAAGCAAGTGTCCCACGCGCTTCATTAAAGCTGGGGTCGGCAACTAGCAAGAGTGCGCTAGATTTTAAAAAGTATCCAATCTAAAAACTCTTTTGAGCCTCTGAAAATGTGGGGGGCTGTGTAAAAATGGCTGTAATTCCTAAATGGTTATTGTGATTTTTTTTTTTGTTCTATCCATTGAATTAAAGCTGAAAGTCTACACTTCAACCACATGTTGACTGCTTAATTTCAAATCCATTGGAGTCGTGTAAAGAGGCAAAATTTGAAATATTGTGTCACGGTCCAAATACTTATGGCCCTGACTGTATATTACCTATAGGTTTAAGGCTTCAAAATAAGAGTTCAACTCTTTCCCTGATGCCGCCTGTGAGGGAGCAGTAAACACTCCTCTTCCTTCAACAACTCCAAGACAGGAAAAACACCGTGCAACACATTGCGCAAGCATTCATTTTCTCTTTCTTTAACAGTCCTCTCATGTCTGAATAGAAGTCACCGCACACACTTACTGACATTTCCAAACTCATTTTCACTCTGCAATAGAGGAGAGTGACA